GGCACTGGAGGTAGATTTGACAGATCTGGTGGTGCCATAGGAGTTCTCAAATGGGAAGGTTCGACCATCGGTTCTTCCTCTTCTTCTTCTTCAAATTCTTCAAGTTGTGGTGGTCGTTGTTCTTCGTGCTGTTCCTCCTGTTGAGGTCGTGATGCTGCTGCCGATTCTGCTGCCGCTGTTGATGCTGATGCCTGTTCGTTTGCCGTGGTGCCGTGCGGAGTGACAGGAGGTGGTTCTGCCACTGTTGGTGCCTCATGCTGTTGTGCTCGTCGTTCTTTTGGAGGCTCAATGATGTGTCCATCGGATTGCATTGGCGACGGCATCGTTTGTGGTGCTGCTTCAGTGTCGGTGGGTGTGTAGTCCATGTCACTGATCTCAGGGTCAACCTCATCGATGGATCTTTTGTTTGACATCCGCAAGTCGATGATGCGCACTGCCCTGCGCTGTCGGAGACCGTGAAGAGCTTGTTGAACTCGGGTAGGTCCATCAACCATGCCACTATCGTTGACCAATTTCCTGACGTGCTGAGCGCCAGCTCTCAAGAGAACAGCGCCATGGGCCAACCAGTAGCATGCAACAGTACCTGTCTCTGGATCGCGCTCCACAGCGAGGATGATTGCAGGACCCTTCCATCGAATGGTGTGTGCCTTATCAGCAGCGTCTCTCCAATAGAGGCATCGTTCTCCAGGGTAGAGGTCCTCGTCTTTGCCAGTGTAGCGACGAAGGAGTGCCCTGCGCAGCTTGACATCGATCTCGGCTTTTCCGCACGCTTGTTGTGCTGAGAACTTCATGCTCAGTCTTCGATGAAGACGTTCCTGCTCGGTCATCTGCAATTGCAATGGCCCAGTGCGCTCGTCAGAGAGGAGTCCTGGCATGGAAGGTTCTCGGCCAAGTGCAAGCTGTGCAGGAGTGAAGCCATTCACGAAGGTGTTGCTGTTCATGGAGGGGACGATCCAAGCCAAGGCCTGATGAACACCATCAAGACCCTTCAACTCATTCTCCATCATGAAGATTGACACTGCTTTTCGAACCAGTTGGTGACGTCGTTCAACAACACTTGTGCGGGTGTGAGCCTGTCCAGGTGCAATGCGAAGTTCGATGTCGTGCTGTTCGCACCAAGTTGCAGTGGCGTCAGATGCCCATCCTGTGCCCTCGTCGGTGTAGAGCTGTTTTGGTGGACCATGGAACTGAATCCATGCCCTTTCCAAGGCTTTCTGCAAGGTTGGGCCCTTTTCGTCAACAACTGTTCGGGCAGCCATGTAGCGAGTAGCTACATCAACCATCACGAGCGCTGCAATCTTCTTTGCTCGTTGCTTTCGATGACCCGGCTCCAAAAGCATGCCGATCTCGTCCATCTCCAACCACAGAACATCAGCCTGGAGCTGTGCATTGAACTCTGAAGGACGATCGAGATGACTTGGAGCGTTGCCCTTCTTGACTGAGTGAACCTCGCAGTAAGGACAATGCAGGTCTTGAACGGCAGATTGGACCGCCTTGTTGCAGCCACGATCTTTGAGCATCTTCAACAGGATCTCTTTGCGAGGGTGTCCAAGATTCCGGTGCAGGCGAAGAGCCGTTCTTGCAGCTTCATGGCCATGAAGAGTGCCGAGCTTCCTGAGAACACCAGTCAGGGCCTTGTCGTCATCATGCACGGCATAGACCTGTTCGTTGAGCCCTTCAACAATGAGCAAGCCATGGACCAAAGTGGAAGCCAGCTCTTGTTGGTAGTCCTCAGCTTTGCGGCAGCGATTTCGACCTTCTAGTCGTTGATGTTCGTGTTGACCATCGCACCTTTTGGACATCAGTTGAAACATAGCCCACTTGGTGGTCTGCAAACGAGTCGTTTTCTTGATGGGCAGGAAGGTGCCATCATCTGCTTCTGTCGTAGCGCCGTAGGCGCATTGGTCGAAGATCGCCTTGTGGCCTGGCAAGTTCTTGAGGTTCTTGGTGTTCCAAGCCAGGCTCAGAGCTGGATGCTCCAAGTGTGCATGATCTCCTCGGCGAACTTGCTTGTAGTAGAGTTTCTTGCGCGTAGCCAAATGAGTGGCATGATCCACCTCTCGCCGTTCATGGAGATCTTGAGCCTGTGCTTCGTTGTGGGTGTTGATTTGCTGCATTCGTGACCACAAGGTACACCTTGGGGACATATAGATCTCATCAGGATCAAGCTCGTCACATTGACGTAGAAGTTCTTTTCGATGGGAGGCTTTGCTGAAGTCCCAACCATCGCGAAGTCCAAAGCGCATCACCTCAACATCGCCGTGGTCCTTGAGCAGCTGGGTGATCAATCCCTCACCTGCATAGACCTCCCAGATGAGGCGTTTTCTCCGAGCGAGGCCATGCTCTCTGGCATGATGGATTTGCTGTTTCACCCACTTTCCTTGGTCGATGTTCTGGGCCTCAAACATGGTGAAGAGTTTCTCAAGTTGTTCAACTGTCTTTGTCGAGGCTTCCGGAGGGATCTCAACCATAGCTTCTTGATCCACTTCCATATAGGCGGGTTCTTTCACAAAATCACTCTTCTCACATGCCTCGCAATAGGCGTTCACCTCGGTGGTCATCTCAAAGAACCGCTCATGGGCGTTGAGGTCTTCAAGAAAGTCATTGAGCTTCAGGGCGTGTTCATGGTCGTCCTCGCATCGAAGGTCGAAGGACACGGGGCGGAATTCCGCTTGGTCGTTCACTTCCTCCGCCAATCTCAACAACATAGCACCCTGACGGCCTCGTGGGATGTCCCGCCAGGTCTCTCGTTGGAGGAAGCGCATCTTGCCCCGTCCAAAGTCGATCTCAGCCTGAAGAGCTTCGAGGAGAGGTCGTCCGAACAACATAGGAGTGGCTCCATAAATCACGTAGGCCTGCAAGCGACCTGCAATGCCGGCCAGTCGTGCCGGGAGTTCGACCATCCAGCGAGTGACCAGTGGCGTCACCTCCAAAGCGAAATGACTTGTCGCATCTTTTGAAGGCGATGTCCTCCATGGGGTAGCCAATGAGCTCAAGCCACTTTAGGTAGCGCAAGATGTACTCGCTGCCTGCCAGGAAGGACGAAGCTCCTTGATCCTGAATGCGCGAATCAGGTTCCGGGGTCAACCATCCGCCAGCTCTGACCAAGGTTTCACCCTGTGTGTAGGCCTCCTCAATATCATAGAAGACCTCGGAGTCATAGGGGTCCTCAACGTCAAAGAACTCTTCAGCATCATAGAGCTCGGTCAGGTGAAGTGCCATGTGAATCATCGAGTCATCTTCAGCTGGCCTTTTCTTCGGTGAAGTGGATCCGGAACCCTGAGCAGTCGGGCAGTTTGCAGCGAAATGACCAGGCTTGCCACATCGAAGACAGACCATTGCGGAACGAGCTCTTGACTTGCCGCTAGGGCCTTTGCTGGCCGTGGAGGTCTTGCCTTTTGAACCCTTGGATGGAGACTTTGACTTTCCAGCACCTTTTGACTTGCCCTTGAAGGGAGTTTGTGCCATCACAGGGGCCTGGCCCTTGTTGCCATCCATGACCGCCACCACGGGGTAGAATCCTCTGCTCTGTCGTAGTTGGTTGAGGCGGTCTTGGCATCAACATAGGTGCTATAAACTTCATCAAATTCCTGGGTGTCAAACATCGACTCCATTTCATCGGGTTCATCATGGTAGTAGGTCTCATCGGGCTCATAGTCCTGCCATTCTCCTGCAGGTTCCTGAATCTCGGTGTCATACTCTTGGGCGTCTTGGTAGAAGGCGTCCTCATCATCGTAGTTCTCCTCTGCTTCATAGTCATCCTCCCAAAAGGTCTGACCCTGTCGCTTCCAGCGTCCAACCATTTGAGGTTTCCGGAGGTGTGCTGGTACATGGACATGTCGATGATCCTGACCGATGATGAGGTACAAGGCTTGTTCAACAGAAGGTAGGGTGAGCGATGATCCGACGTGGGTCTGGATCAACTGTTCTTGCTCCCTTGTCAGCCCTGCACGCTTCACCAACATCCAGCCAGTGATTTCCTCGGGGAGGTCAATCTTGTGCTTGGAGATCTGTCGAAGCGTTTGGTGGAACTCGGTGACATATTCAAGGATCGACTGATCTCGCTTGCGCCGCAACTTGAAAAAGAAGTTGTCAAAGTGGGTCGGCATCTCAACTTTTGCACTGTTTATCCAGGCGCTTGAGCAAGATGTCTAGGCCACCTTCTCTCTCCAATTCGTTCAAATCCAGGTCCTCGCACTGCGTCCACGACGGGCCTTCGAGCACAGACAAAATGTTCAGTGCCACTTCAGCTGTGCGACCTTGGATTTCCATTTTGCGGGCATACAGTTTCACTCTTGTCCTCCATTCAGGGTAGGAGGTGGTGCTGTTCTCAAGCCGGGGGATGAAACTGTCCTTGTAGTCTATTCCAGCGGTGCCAGAGCCATTCGCCGTCGATCCGGCAGGAGGTCGTGAGGTTGCGCGCTCCCTTCCAGAGGCCATAGCTTCGGCAACAGCTGGAGCCTACCACTTTGGGCAGGCTCCGCTACCAATGTGAAAACACGGATGTATGAAGTGCGTCGTGTTTCGTTTCCAACCGCTCGAAGTGTCGGAGTGAAAAGAACGAAGTGAAAAAGGTAAGAGCTCCTTTTCTATGCGTAGCGTGAACATGCGTGCTCAAGGGGCCCCTTAGGGCATATGGCAGCGGTCCGTGGACAAAAGCTGCAGTCGGAAGCGACCCACCATGGATTCTCCACATTTCATGGAGTGAAATTCACAGCCCCCTTAAATAGCCATTCCATGTTTTTGGGGTTCTGCGAAATTTTGGTGGATGTCTAAAGGATCGTCATCCACTCCTAGCACCAAACATACTACTGGCTACTAACATAGGTGTGCATCACGTGTCCTCAAAACTCAATTAGGCAAGAAGTTGAGAAGCATCAACACCAATCGCCATCTCACAACGGCAGGCGAAGGTACGCAGTCCCTGGAAGAAACTCAGCTCACGAACTTGAGATGTTCGCCCAAGGTTGACATGACTGACAGCGCTATTCCCCTCTGTCCTGTGAACTTGTCCAGGCACTGACCCACTTCACAATAGCCTTTGTTTCGCTTGCTCAGGGCACTGGCAATCTGATTCACTGGGTAGAACTCTCTCGCTAGTGGCACACACACACATACACACACAAAGGCAATAGTTCCAAGAAAAGGATCTTAGCAAGACATGGTTCGCAATAGTACATTAATATACATTAATACATTAAGTATTGTCTGTCCGGAGCTCCTCCAACATTGGTTCTCAGGCGGTACACACCTGTATAGGCTAGGCCCCTAGGTGATCCATCCTCTTGCGGTATGTTGGTATGTTCTGGGTAGATGGTTCTGGTGACCAGCTCGTGTATATATATATATATCTTCTTCACAAAGCACCTTTGGATCGTTTGAATTTTCATGTTCGTTATAGACTTTTCCGATGTGCTTTTTGTGGAATTGTGGCTTGCGATCCTCTGGCCAAGCTGCAAGACAAATCCGCCACAGTGGGCGCCGGGCCACATAGCCACGGGTTCTCGTTCAGCCAGCGCTCGATGGATTGGAGAGTCTGTGCAATCTCCTGCCACTGTTGGTACACACAGCTACAACCGCACTTCTGTAACTAGGTCAGTCCGGTCTTTACGTGCCAGCTCATCCATGGATCTCTTACTAAGCAAAAACCAATCACGTGCACTAGTCGGCACAAGGATCAACCTGAGCATTGTGGTGTCTTCTAGCGATTCTAGCGATGCAGATTCATATTCTGTTTAACAGGGATCTTACCGGCTTGATCACTGCCTTCTGAAGAAAGACTTGCAGCTCTTTGGAGGGTCAAGGTATAGTTGGCCGATTGCATTTTGGGAAGAGGTGGTTCAGCAACAAGTAAACTCGGATGCTGATCCGCAGCGAAGTCAGAATGACTGACTGGGCTGTAGAAAATGCCAAGCTGTTTCCCAAACAAATTATAGTACTTGTCTGTGTGAACTGAGCATGAAGCCAAGGCAAGGAGGCTGGCTGATTCCTCTTGTCCAGGCCTTCATCCATTGCTTCGTCTGCTCGGGAGAGATCTTCAAATCCGGTCGCATCACCGGAGCGAACAGTGCCATGGTGATCCGTCGGGTGTTCTGGTGGTGCCAGTTCCTCTGAAGCAAATGGCCGTCTCCCGTGTCTCGACAAATTCCAAAGCTGAACAAGGGGAGGCAAATATTTTGCCACAGCTCTCCAAATGCAGAATTTCTGAAACAAAGGTCTTTAAAGTTGACTGCAAGCTTCAACTTTCCTAGGTCCAAGCACAATCTTTGGACGTCTCGGAGGATTCGGAATCCAATCACTTGAGCGCCAAAGCACTATGTGTGACACTCCGCCGGGCTGTTGTTCACTACTAGTTGAAGGCTGATAATCAAGTGGGGGGTGGCTATCTGCAGGTTGACAGCCCAAACTACTATGGTATCAAGTCCATCCACGGCAAGTTGTTTTCCGCAGCGAAAGCCAAGGTGCATGTACTGATGAATACGTGCACGGATGCGGGCATCACGAGGATAAAGTTTCCACTCGAACTTGTCTCCCAAGTATGCCATGATGGCCTTGTTTCCGAGACAAGTCCAAATGCCATGAAGGTTCTGGGGAGCTGCCCCATACTCTACTCTTGAGGCACAAAATCCATCAACAGTACGAGTACGCGGGGGTCAGCAAAATAGCTGGGTCTCAACAGATTCTACGCCATGGCACCCTCTATCCAAGAAATATGGGAGTGGACAGTAGTCCCTTGAAAGTTGCTGGGGCGGTCAGTGAATCAGCAAGTAGCGCACTCAACCAAGCTTTGTCACTCACGATCATCATGTCTGACAACTCTGTTCTGGGAAGTTTGGTTTGGTGCTCATATATGACGACGCGGAAGAGGATGAGGATAAGGATGAGGATGATGATGATGATGATGATGAGGAGGAGGATGAAAAATAACATAAAGCCCCACCATATAGTCACTCTATACGTGGCCCCAAAATGTCTGGTACACGCCCAAACCTGCAGTCTTGTTGGTATGTGTTTTTGAATGCTTTTGGGAGATTGTTGCCGTGCTTGCGCCATTTTGATGCGATTGACGTCACAGCATTGTCAAGTGGCATGACTCTCATTGAGAATGAAGCCATCTTCTTCCAATCGAGGGACTGCTGGTATTACACCTGCAGTCCAAAACGAGGGACTTCGAAATGAAAGGGTCGGCCTTTGAGATTGAAGCGCTGAGAAAGGAATGAAACCTTGAGCATCCAATCAGAACTCCTCGCCAAGAGTCTTGAAGGGTGTGTAAATGGGTGGAGCACAGTACCATACCCTAGCTTGACTCTGCAACTTCTGAGAGTGATGCTTTTGATTGAACTACATCACCTCAACGCTTGATCTAGCTTGCGCTTAAAAATAGCTTTGGCTATGACTGCTCGGTCTAGCGGCTAAAGAAGACTTGCTTCAATTCAAATTATACCTTTGCAGAACTCCACATGGAGCCTCTGTCCCGATTGGCGACAAAGTGAAGAGTGATGCCATGCATGACAGTATCATCATACAATCCCCAGAATAATCACAAACGTATGTCTCTACATATATATATATGAGTATAAGTCTATATCAATAGTTATTGGGAGGGCAAGTCGACAAAGTGGAACACACCGACTTTGTAGGGCATGCGTTTAGTATCGTTTAGTGGCATACACGGGTCAAACAAGTAACAAACCGAGCAAATAAAGGGGAGAACCGTTCTCGACCTTCCGACCGTCAGGTCGCCAACCAAACAAAAGTCACTTGAGAGGATGCCAAGCCAAGCCACATTCGTGTAGCTGTGACTCACCCACTCCATGCTTTTTCACCCGACCAACCGAAAGCCCAGGAAGCCTTGTGCTTGAAACTCCTTGGAGCGCGTGTCTTTCCCGGGCCTCAGTGACTCAGTAGGCCCCATGGGGCAGTGGATTCACCTCTCAAAGTGGTCGCCTGCACGGCTGGGGATTTCATTGAAGGGAATCTCTAGGATTGCCATATCATCCAAGCTTACGTTGTGGTATCCAAGTTCCTACAACAAATGACATGGTGACACCCCAGCTGGACACGTCACAAAATAAATGAAAACAATGTGCCCAGGATTCCAGCGTTTGGAGATTAAACACACGTTTTACAAATCACTTCACTGACCGGACCGACTGGATTGCCGTACTCGCCTGACCGACCTGTTCAGCCGCCCCATGGGCTCCATGACTCCTTGAGATTCGGCCTTTCTATGGGTAGCCCATGCAGCGCAAAACTGAGAGCAAGAGCTCAGGCACTGGCATCGTCTGCACCTCTTCCACTTGAACGTTCTCATAGGCACATGCCCAGGACAATGCCCTGAAAGGATTGTGCGGTTTTCGTTTTCAATCTTCGCCCCTCCAAAGATGTGTGGAAAACTGTCAGTGAACCGCAGTGATGGACAATGCTAGACACCATCTGGGTTTTGAAGGGTGTCCTGAAGCGGTTTCTGACAGGTTGTGCCCAGAACAGTCTGCTTGGGGATCATGGACGCAGCTAAGAACTTTGCTGTAAAGCCTACAATTGGACTTGCAGGTGTGGGCAAAGCCCCAACAAAATGCTTTGCATCTAGAGAACCTTTGAATTGAATGGCTTTCCAAATAGAGAGGGGAAGGGCAAACTCAAAGTGCAAACAGACATCACCCTCACCATGTAGAGTTGCGCTCAATCGATTCGGTTCTTCCAAGCAAGGGGAGCACCTGCATTCCTGCAATTTCTCCTTGAAGGCGCTCGAATGAAAGACAGCAAATTTGCTTATCCGTTTTAATGTCTTTCATGTTTACTCCCTAAATGCAAATGATCCCTGTAGATTTTCATAGATTTTCGAGGTTCTTGGATCCAAAAAGGTACACAAATGGTTGTGGGGAATGTCACCTTATACCCCGCACAAAATATCTGAAGTGCAACAGTCGGCTCACAGTGGTGAACAAATACCAAACCCAGGTTGGAGATTAGGAAAAACAATTCCAGGACAGATACAGTATTCCCTTCAGATTCTCTTTTGATACGGATTCCTGCTCCAATGAATCACTTGCCACTGCCAATCCAATATGTGGGTCCAAAATACTCTAAAGTCTCCAGACTGTGCTCTCCACCAGCCTGCAGGGCTGAGAGATTGGCATAGTATAGATCTTCATGGCTCCAAGGTCCGACCGAGGCGGCTGACGCTCTGATCTTTGGCCATTCAAATGTATAAGTATATATAAGTCTAAACATGACATCAAACCTTAGAATTCAAGATGTTTGAAGTTATAGAGCTACAGTTGGTTCACCATTTATGCTCATCATGCTTCAGAAGCTGGATGAGCCTGGATTTTGAGAAGGGGATGGCAAATGGGCGATCCAATTACAGTATACCAGCCTTGTTGAGTGTTGGAGTTTTGACCAACCATGACTAACCCTTTCTTGCTCACTTCAACGATCGGGACTTGTCACGGTCGAATCAAACAGCCTGGCGACTCATGATGATGATAGTTCGCAGCGTTGCACAAACTCCTTGCGAATTCATCTGCCTATTCCTTCACTGCTCATGAATCTCTTTGTTCTGAGGGAAATCAATTGCTAGCCCTCTAAACTTCAATTTGCAGTGAAACCGAAACAATCCAAGCAAATATATGGACATACGTACACATACTAATATATATATATATATGGTAATATCCAGCCTTCTCTCCAGTAAAACTTGACATGTCACTGCCATCCCACTTTTTTTCCAAGGTTCCATCCCAAACCGTGGCACTTGAGACCTGCTCTGCACTTTTCCTAGCATTGCGAAAATGTTGGCTTCCCACTAGTACAATTGTGCTGCCGGCTATATAATTACATGTTGTGCGATGAGGTTACCTCAATCGCGGGATCCAACTATGAGATATGGGAACTGAAGTTAGAGTCTGTTAAAGAAAATGGCCACAGTGTGTTCAATCAACATCACCAGCAACCGGAACAAAGCATGGCCGCTGTTCCACCGAACGCCTTTCATGGCAACCAAAGAAACTGAAATTTCAGATCATGGCCCGTGTGATCGACCATCATGGTCAGCCAAGCGACGTATGCCATGGAGAGGGTACTCAGCCAAAAGCTAAAATCACACCGAAGAACCAAGTGGATGAAGCTGAGGAAACTCACTCCGACTACAGCCCTCATGCACACATCCGTCATAAGAAGGACGAATGCTTCAACCAAAAAACTGTAGCCGTTCCGGATGAGGCTATCTTCAACATTGGCGTCCGCCAAACCCACAAAGTATTCACTGTTCTGTCCTAAGAAAGTGTTGCTTCGCAAACACAGTAGGAGCAAGATGAAGATAGCTGGCGCCATGACCTCGCATACTTCCAACATGACAATCGCCGAGAACGAGCTAGTGATTGCATTCAGCAAGTAGACATCTTCGTGCGACCAGGTCACCTTGGCTGGGACTCTCAAACTCTGCAATTCCCAAGCGAGCCAAGATGGAACCCACGAAATCCGAAACGACACACAGACCCGACGAAACTTGGCCAAACATTGTTTTACACTCTTGTAGGGCACTCCTGTAGGAGACACCCTTGTGGGACACTCTTGCAACGCGCTCGAAAGCTCTTGTGGGGCATTCACTCTTGTGGGACACTGTTTTGTGGGACACTCTTCTGGGACACTCTTGTAGGACACTCTTTTGGGGCACTCCACTTTTGTGGGACACTCTTGTAGGAGACACTCTTGTGGGACACTCTAGTGGGACACTCGCTTTTGCGGGCCAGGCTTACTGGCTCTCTTGTGGCACAGTCTTGTGGGACTCTCTTGCGGGGCACTCTTGTGGAAACCTCGTGGCGTGCTAGTAGAAGAAACTCTTGTGGAAAACCGTTGTGGGGCACTCTTATGGGACACTCTTGCGGGGCACTGTTGTAGGCCAACTCTTGTAGGAGACACTCTTGCGGGAGACACTCTTGTAGGGGACGCTCTTGTGGGGCGCTCTTGTTGTGGGGCACTCTAGCTGTGGGGCACTCTTGTTGTGGGAAACTCTTGTCGGACACTGTTGTGGAAGAAGGAAAGGGTTCATCGGGGAGGGATCATCTGCGACACCAAATCAGGGATGCGCGTTGGAGGACCATCTGCAAGACACGTGCTCGGTCGGGGAGCATGGGCATAAATTCACGCCCCTTTTTTACTTTGCACTTCGGTATTACGCACGATGATCTTGCAGTCACACGCTGTGGGGGTTCCGATAATCTTCACATCACTATTGCGTTCAATGGTCCTGCGCACATTACATACATACCCGTCAAATCACCATGGCGCTCCACCGTTTTCCATGCGATGGTCACACACTGTGTGGGGTGTGTGGGCGGGGGGTGGGTGGAGTGTGTGTGGGGGGGTGGCTGGGTGGGCCAACAATCACATCCTTTTTGATCCCTTTCGCATCACCATTGCACACAGTGGTATTTTATGCACTTGATGCCCATCCACATCGCCATTGCACGTGATGGTTGCGCACGGTGATCTTCGCATCACCATGGCGCACAATGGTCTTGCACAGCTTTGATTCCTTCACATCTGCATTGCGCATCCCGATTCACATTCAATACCCTTCGCATCACCATTGTGCGCCACGATTGGGATAGAATATCCCGCTCGAGCGCCACGAACGACGCAGCGGTCGAGTGACACAAACAAGCCCCCTACCGTTGGGGCACTCTTAGGGCTCTTGTGGGGCACAGTCTTGTGGGATGCAGTCTTGTGCTTGTAGGGCGCTCTTGTGGCACAGTCTTGTCTGTCGCTCTTGTGGGAGACTCTTGCTGGAAGATCTTGCCACACGTCAAGTCTCTAAAAGGCACTCTTGTAGGACAGTCTTGTACAGTCTTGTGGGAGCCGTCGTACGAGCGTTTCGTACGAGACGTCCTCCCAAAGTCAAATGTCAAGCGTCAAGTCGCTCTTTGTACGAGACGTCCTTCAAAAAGTCACTCGTCCAGCCTCCAAAACGGCCTCCAAGAAAACGAGCGTTTCGTATGAGACGTCCTCCAAAAGTGAAGTGGGAAGCCCCATCAGAGCGAACACATCAAGCAGCCCTGCCAAGCGCGCCCCTCAACACCACAGCGGCTGACACACCTCCAAACGTCGCAACCTCACGATTCCCAGCGCCTGCCACGAAAATCCAACTTCGACTGCCAAGAAAAGTGACGACATGACATCTTCATGTCTTCCATAAAGTTTGTACAACGCCACACGTTTGGAATGATTTGGAGACTTTTTTCAAACGCTCACATCCACGTCATCCACTAAAGCCGAGAATGGTAACGAAAACACAGCTTCGAGGCAAGATCCTACACGGAAGTCCCACTGTCACACCTGCAGCAGGGGATAAACGGGAGGAACCCTTCGCTATGCATTCGGGAAAAGCTAGAAGAAAAAAGAAAAAACAACCATTACGAGAACCAGGCCACATCTTGAAGGTCTTGCTTTTTCATTGTCTTGCATCTTTGGGTGATGTCTCTGATCCTCGTTTGCAGTAGCATCAGGTTGTGGCGAACACCCATGAAGCCTTGCTTGAACTGCTGGCTTGACCTCATTCTTCGCTTTTCAATCTCGCTCTTGTATGATGAAAGATCGAACAAGACGATCAGGAATGAACCTCCCACCTGTGAAGCTTCTGGCAGAATCATAGTGACAAGAACCCAAATACCTTTGGCTTCTGAAAGGATCATTGCTTTGAAGATGATCACAGGAAGCCTCATCGAGGTTCGCATCTCCTGTATTATTTGCGGAGGCACATTCCAACGCACACCCAATGGTGCAGCCATCTTTATCGCAAATGCCTCCACTGCAGCAACTGAAAGGCTCATAACCATTTGGATTTCAGGTTTCACTACGCCAAAGAATGCTGTGTAGAGCAGCATCACTCCATAGAAAGCGCATAATCTTGCCCAAGAGCACGTCGCAAACTTCAAGGAATTGCTCGTATTATGGAGTGCCCGCACCTCTGCAGGGAGAACCAGGTACGCAACTCCCACGCTCACGAACGCTGCTGGGATACACGAAATAATTGCAGAAAACGGGACGGGATACACATTGCCCAAGGAGAAGAGCGCATGCTCGCAGGCACACCACACGGAGTCCACCATCGGCGCCCAATGCAAAGACCTGTCGATGCGCCTTGCAATGTCTGGCCTTCGTGCTTTTTGCAAACTGGGTCTACTCTCCAAATCCCAAGAGACGAGTCTCAGAAACCATGAGACAGGCGCTCGAGCGACAATGTAGTTTGCAACCGGGTGCGCCACAAAGTTGAACATCCAATTTTGCCCAAACCCCATCTCTGGCTTCTGGAAGGGAAACGCCACATATGCCCAAAGCACAACCAACGCCAAGCTTACCCCAAAACCTGTCATGTAGCAAATTGTCACAATGATCTGCCACCACGTGGAATCACGGTCACTACACCAGCTCTGCAGGCAAAGCACAGCTTTGCCACTTAGCAGGTTTGCATCCTCTTCCCCATTTTCACCATCCTTCTTCTCAAGCTTGAGCGCCAGTATGCTGTTTGACTTGGCACCTGTCGAGTCGACTGAGATAACACTATGACACGTGCCATCTTGCACACAGTCGCGTTCTTGTGGGATCTGGTGCATATCCTTAGGAGGGGCTCCCTCAAGCGGCAACTCAGCAAATGACTTGGGATGGGTGGATCAAAACCCCAGGGCCACTGGCAAACCAACTTGAGAAAAAACAGTGATTCTAGATCAATTTACTATATATATATGTTTTACAATTTTTCAATATTCTGAAGCCGAGTCCGGGTTCATGCTCACAGCCCATACATTAAACACATCGGGAACTGCAGCGTCTCACCCCAAGAATGTGCAGAATCCTTCGCCAAAGGTTCATCTACGGCTGTGGCTCTTTGGGTTAGATCAAACTGAATGTCGGCTAGAAATTAGGAGCATCACTGGCTAGGATTCTCGCACGACGTCAGAGCGTAGATTCATCGACAAATGCATGTCGAATGTCGAAGCCTGAACAAAGCAAGGCTGACCATGACACAGCTGTCAAAGATCGGCCATAGGTTGGGCTTCTGCGTTTACCAACCTCTGAACCCACTGCCCTGTTGTGGGGCTTTGGTGAAGTAATGCATGGGTCCATTCAAAGAAGTCCCTGGATGTGCTTATTTATCACCCCTTCAAAGGTACTGGCGGCCTCTGCCAGTGTGCGTTGAGCATGGAGTTTTGCAAAGGTCTGCATGACTTGTACTCCCCTGTTACTCCCCTGTGCCCTGATTTCTATGAAGAGCCCTCCCCCTAAATTTCCCTTAACACCTTGCATGAATTTGGCGTCACCTGACACCACCCGCCCCAAAAAAAGATCAGAAGCCAGTTGCCGATATTACAAGAATGAATAAATAAATAAACAAATAAAAAAGACATATATATATATATATATGCGGAGCACACGGGCGCAAGTGCCCCTCGAGAGGACTTTTCCTATCCTGTGGGTTGGGGTGCATGAGAGGTCACGTGAACACCGGCGATCGAGAGTGAACGCGAACGCGTGAATGCAAATTGTGCATATACATACATTTAAAGTACTGTATAAGTCCATACTCAAATAGTGTCTTTTCCGAATCACTTCTCTGTCTATTTGAGCTACCATAACGATACTGATGAGTTCAACATCACATATCAATATTGAGCTGAAGAACATCAAACTAAATCTGTCAAGCGTCAGCCAGTGGTTGGACAGCTGCATCTGCAAAGGCCTCACCGATACTGATATTGATGAAGCCAGGACGTGGTGGTCCACATAGATCTGCCGGACAAGTATCCTCTCATAACAACATTTTCTTGGATGAAGCGAATGCTTGATAACGTGATAAGTCAAGTGATAAGCTATTAGGAAATGAACAACTGCTATAATTAAGACTTCCGTCACCGTTCTTACAAAGTAGTACGAAGTAGTGGATTCCAGCATGGCATTCCACCTACATTTCCTGAAAACAACACTGTTGTCACAACAACAGTTCCGCAGGTTACCAAGAACTTGTGGCCCTGCCGGTTCTGGCACGTGAGCGCGCGAGCGCGCACGTGCGCACGCTTTTCCTCTGTTTCTTGTGGGACGTCAGCATTCACATCAGCTTGTGCAGTCGGACGAGAATTGAAGAGGATCCCACGGAGACACCTGCAACTCTGAGCAGAATGTGGCATGTTTGATGTCTGGATGCCCATCTATCAAAGGGTGATCGGGCTGTTAGCTTCACTGGCTAACAGTTAGGAAAACCCACCAACCGAATTTAAGTTCTTGTACTGGCTGGGGGCCTCCAGACGTGGATGTTTGATGCACCTTTTCTCAACGATCGACTCGGCCAGACCGAATGACCAATCTCCACAGCTTGGCCCTATCGAGTGCCTGAGTTTGGCAAGGGATCTATCCCCCAGCTATAGTCAGCTATTACAAATACTCCTGCCAAGGGCCGCGTTGGCCACCCAAACCTTGCTGTTCACACCCTAAACACTTGCACTTCATAGATGAACACCTCTGTTGTTCATGATAAAATTACTAAAGCTGCAAGGGCTACTTGCTGGTAGAAACTTTCTCCCCCAACCCTTATGCCCGTCGGCCCCTCGTTGAGGGCCTCTGTGAATCCGCCAGATCCATCCGCTGCAAGAGTTCTTGGCCCGTGCGACATTCATCACCCGGAAGGAAACAACATCTGTTTGCCATTGTAGTGGTCCCATGGAGGCCAAACATCTCCGGGAACACGAGGGATGGGGCTTGATCTCGGGGCGAGTCATCTCTCAACTTTTGAATGTTGCAATCTCGGCAAGAACGTCCTCCTTGGCCAAGCTGAGGATCCTCTCCATCCTCAGCGGCTTCAGGAGTGCTCTTGAGGTCTCCACCTTGCCCAGCACTGTCAACAGTGCCTGGGTTCCTTTTGCGGTGGTTCTATCACAAACTCATTTACCAGTACCTCTTTGAAAAACTTAAAGACCACCAGCGGTGAATTGAGCCTGTGGTTTTTTCGGGCTTTTGGATCCTCCAGATCCATGTGCACTTGGATTGTACTGGGAGGCAACGCCCAGCTCCCCGCTAAGGTGCAAAACAAGGCAAGGCAGCCCATGTGGCAAATAAATCCGTTTTACACACACTCGTCATCAGGTGCTAATTATCCGCCGGTCCCAGCCGATGGTGGGGTAACGGGGCAAAGGGCAAAGAACCGTGAAGCGCTTCGCCGGCTATTTTTAGTGTGGAAGTGGATTTGGACCTGAGGTAGGCTCTGGACCCCCCCTCCGGAACAACACCTTAAAACACAAAAAACGGACGAGCCCAGACTTCAGCGACACAAGTCCAACAAGTCCAGCTACTTACGAAGCCAACATTCCCTCAAGCCTTCAACCGTATCCCTAACCTTGCCCCCTTGAAGTTCCAGAGCTACAACATGTCACAACTAAGTTGGGCGGCTGCTTTTGTTTCTACCAACAACAACAACCACCACCACCACAACAACAACAAGCACCACGAGGACAATCGGTCTCCAGTGTCAGTTTCCACCGCGATTTGTCCAGTGTTAAGCAGCTCTCTCAGCCTTTGACGGGGAGTTGCCTCTGTCAGGGCGGTCAGCCTCCCCTGCAAATGCTGCTTGCAGCTTCTTGCATAGGATGCTGCCCGGGTGCCCTACGCCCGGGCCCCTGTCTTACACAAGGAGGGGTTGGTTGAGTCGGCCCCCTACCGACCAACAACAACCACAACAACCACAACAGCCACAACCACGACAACCACAACAACAATCACCTGCTTTCCCCTGCCGCCTGCCACTGCACACCCTGGTGGCCCGCTGTTGGGCGTAAGCCCATTAAGTAAAAAACGATATATATATATATATGTATATTTTTTTTTGGTATAGTCACATCAGCTATACTACATCAACGTGCATGTGTAGTCACCGGCCGGCCAGGATTGTTTGGACCAGTTTGAGGCGCTACATGGCCAGACAGGTAATCGTGGAGAGGGTCTACACACTTCACAACAATGCCAAGACAAATGATCAGTGGCAAAGCATCTCAAAACTTCTCAAGCTTTTTGTTTGCGGCTTTCAATAACAAGTGGTCTGCTGCATTTCCTTGTCAAAACAAGGATTGCATTGCAGGCTGAACTATTGTGAATGCAACATGTTTATAACCCTATACATATAGTTATATATCCACATTATATATACAGTACATAGTCTTATAGTTTGCATATATCCCGGGTTATTGTGCTCAAACATGCTCAAGGGCAGAATTATAACGCGCTTCGAGTTGACGCAGCTCCTGATGGTTTTCATGGTGTAGTTGGCCTTGAAGCTTTCTAGCTGGTTGGTCCTCTTTGTGGGCTACTGAGAGGATGTACTAACAAGATCTAACAAGCAATGTTTCAGGTCATTTGGCATGCTATGGTAATATTTTACAACCTTGCGCAATACCAAAGCAGTATCAAGCTTTTGTGGAGACCACAGCTGCCGTGATTTCCCCATCGGATTTGCAAAGCAAGAATAAAGCCCCATGCGAGTGACAAAGAAACCTTGGAGAATCCACTTACTGTGGCCAAGGGTCACAGTCAACCAACTGTGGCCACTGGAAACTCCGACTCTAAACGGGCTGTAAAGAAGAACCCCCTACAGAAAACAAACCTGTCTGAGGGCATAGTGAGCCCATAAAAAGACCTCCTCATGCTTGGTCAAATCCATCTGGTCATGAGATCTTCAGATCCTTCGACTACTTCCAACTTGGAACGTTCTTCATTTGAACACCATATGCCGAGACACAGAAGTCTTTGAGGGCTCACAAAGCTCCTGCATGCAGTTGGGTTAGCGGTTCCTCATCTAGTGTTTTGTTTCTGCTTGACAAGGTATCTCAAAGAATCTGCACAACCCACGCTTCCTTGCATTTCTTAATCTCTTTTGGAACATGGCCAAAGTTGAACTTGTTTGACGAGTACTCTTGGCTCCCCACACAATCAACACCCCCCAAACACACAGTATCCGCGTCCATCCTTTGGAGCCGTAGCGCCATGAATTGCCATCGCTCACATCTCGGGGGTCGGACTGGTGGCCTGGCAAGATTGTTCACACCCTCCACACTGTTGTCTCGGCACAGTCTGGGAGGACTTAAGGCAAATCCGAAGCCTGAGAATGGGTAAGCACTTGATGGTTCGGGTCGGCTGCCATCAATGAGTATCGGGGAAACCTCGATCTGGTCAAGTCAAGTTCACAGGAACAACCTCCTGACTAGCTTGGCCCAGACCAGAGTGAGTTCTTAAAGCTGTTCTTTGGATTTCTCAATTTTTCCTTTACTTCTGGTTTTTTAAAAACTTTCCTTCACTCTTTTCCACCTCTTGCTTGGTCAGTCTGGACATGATATAGCGTTCCTTGGTTCAAAGCTTGCTACCCGTGTCGACCCACTGAAAGCGAATGCAAAGGAACTTGATAACATCGGAGTTAACAAAAAATACTACCAAAAAACTTGGCCCAGCCCATGATCAAGCCACCAAAACGTCCTGGGTAAACAAAACATCTCACGTGCCCCATATCAAGAAACAACGCGTACTTTTAAGTCTATATTTGCCAGCCAGGCAATGGAAAGTTGATTTTTATTATTTGTTCATTTAGATCTTCATTTAGATCATCATTTTTTTTACAACATATTTTGTTTTATTTTCATTTATTTTGGGATTATCATTTTTTTTGCGTCATGTTCATCCTTCCAGAACTGGTTGGCTTTGCTGTCACTTCCCATGGGCTTCCAAAATCACTTCAGTCACAGTCAGCGCCCCAAACTATATATAGATGCGTGAAGGGATTCCCTCACCCATCCCTTCCCGAGCAATCGAAGCCAAGGATCAAAATCATGGAATGCAACTTGCAAGCTGCTGAGCTAAACCACTGGGCCCCAAAAGCCTGAGCCTAGTGGCCTAGTGGCCTAGAAATTTGTCACACAGGGATGGGAAGTAAAACAGGTACTTACTACTTGGACCTATTTGGGTATGTTGCAGCAATGCTACGAACCCTTCACCCGTTGGTATTTTCCTGCCTTCTGTGCCTGTTCTGACTGTGGATGAAGGGGCAAAAGGCTACTATGACTCACGGGCACCTTTCATTTGACACATATTTTATATATATACACATACAGTATGAACTATATACTACTTACTATTTATGATATGATATGATATGACATGATATGATATGAAAGGATACATGTATAATGTAATCTAGTTCCCCAACAACTATGCTATGGGGCCTTGCAAAACAAATAGGCGGACGGGCGCCGTCGGGTCACCGTCAGAACTGGTGGGCGGATGGTGTCCCGGTCATGTTGCGACGGTGTCCTGGTCATGTTGTGACGGTGTCCCGGTCGTGTTGCGATGGTGTCCGGGTCATGTTTTCATTGTGTCCCGGTCGTAGTGTCCCGGTCATGTTGTGACGGTGTCCCGGTCATTGCGATGGTGTCCCGGTCATGTTTTGATGGTGTCCCGGTCATGAAGTGACAGTGTCCCGGTCATCGTTTTGCGATGGTGTCCTTTGATGGTGTCCCAGTCATTGTGACGGTGTCCCGGTCAGGTTGTGATGGTGTCCTGGTCGTTGTTGATGGTGTCCCGATCATGTTGCGACGGTGTCCCGGTCATGTGATGCTGCTGCCCCGGTCGTGTTGCGATGGTGTCCCGGTCATGTTGTGATGGTGTCCTGGTGATGATGTGACGGTGTCCCGGTCATGTGATGCTGGTGTCCCGGTCGTGTTGCGACAGTGTCCCGTCATGTTGTGATAATGAAAAAGTGGAACCCACGAACCCGAATGCAAACACGTACTCGAAAACAAACGCCTAAACAATTGTTGACAGTCTTGTAGGAGACGCTCTTGCGGGACACTCTTGTAGGGCGCATTCTTGGCGGACACCTTTATGGGACAGCCTTGTGCACTCTTATGAGACACCTTGTATGACACTCACTCTCGTGGGACACTCTTGCGGAACACTCTTGTGGGAATCTCATGCGAAACACTCTTGTAGGACAATCTCGTGGGACTCTCTTGTAGGACACTTTTGTGGGACTCTCTTGTAGGACACTCTTGTCGAGCACTCTTGCGGGACACTCTGTAGAACACACTCTTGTGTGACATTCTTGCGGAACACTCTTGTGGGACACCCTTGTAGGGCACTCTTATGGGACACTCTTGTTGGAGACTCTTGTGGGACACCTTGTAGGACACTCTTGATGGAACATTTTGTGGGACACCCTTGTAGGACACTCTTGTCGGACAACCTTGTGGGGCACTCTTGTATGACTCTCTTGTCGGAGAGTGTTATGGAACAGTCTTGTGGGGCACTCTTGTCCAACACTCTTGTGGAACACTATTGTGGGACACTCTTGTGAGACACTCTTGTAGGACACTCTTGTCGGACACTCTGGTGGGACACTCCCGTGGGAGACTCTTGTGGCATGTGGCGCACCCTTGTAGGACACTCTTCTGGGACACTCTGTGTGTGGGGCACTTCCAAAAGTCACGCGTCAAGTCTCCAAAAACGAGCGTTTCCTTCCAAAATTCACTTGTCAAGCCTCCAAAAACGCGTGTTTCGCGCGAGACTGCGAAGTCTACAAAGCAAGCGTTTCGTTCGAAACTTCCTCCAAAAGTCACGCGTCAAGTCTCACATACGAGACTTCCTCCAAAAGTCATCTGTCAAAGTCTTCAAAACGAGCATTGCATACGAGACTCCGTGCAAAAGTCACACATCAAGCAGCCCTGCCAAGCAGTTTCGCGGTTCCACCCCCTCCAAATAACACCCGCTTACACGCCAATCCCAGTGTCACAGCGACATTCACCTCCACCACAACTCGCAACCTCACGATTCCCTGCGCCTGCCACGAAAATTTCCACGTCCACATGTCTAACGCGCGCAAAGTACTGCGCCTGACACGATATGTGACCTCCGCCACACCTCGCAACCTCACGACTCCCTGCGCCTGTCACGAAAATCGCGCTTCCACACCTCAAAGCCAGCGCAAAGTACTGCGCCTGCCACGAAAAGTGACAATATCATATCATGTCAGCTTCAACAAAGTTTGCACAACACCACACGAGTGGAATGACTTCGACACGTTCTGAGCACGCTCCCATCCACCAAAATCACCACTTGAGCTGAGACTTGTCATGAAAGCACAGCTTCGATGCAACACCGTGAAACGTACATCCCAATGTCACAGCCACATCCAACACCCCAAAAAAACAACTCTCCAAACGCGAATCCCAATGTGACTGCGCAGAAAACTACGGATCTCACAAAACGCTGCGCCTGTCCAGTGAAATCATCCTCCACACTTCAACATCTTACGTTTCCACACGTTCCTCGCTATTTCACACGAATCTGACGCGTCACGTTTCCATCCAACCCCCCTCCCAAACCTTCCCCCAATGGCAGCGCCTTATCGCTCTGCTGCGGACGGTTGCGAACGCTACGACAACGAGTCGCGAACAAGGCTCTACCCCCAGACCCCAGAGTTAAACGAGAACCCTTCCCTACGCATTCAGGGAAAAAACAGTAGAGCAGAGCATAGTATAGTATAGCACAGATACACATATTTACGGGAGTAGTGATAGAGCCTCACTACGTGAGATGCCCCTTGTCCCTTGAAACACTGTGCCTGCACCACCCAGACACGCGCAGCTTGGCAAACGCGCCGAGAGAAAAGCTTGGCCATAAACGTCTGCCTTTAAAGCACAGAAAAATGCAGACTGATTTAAAGCACAACATCTTACAACGAATCCCAACATTCGCTGACTCTTCCAACCTGATTGTGGGAATGCTCCCAAAGATTCCCAAAGTATGCTCACCGACCCTTTCCACCAGCCACTCTAAAGGGTAGACTAGATCTGACGTTTAACAAGGTCTCGCAGTTGGCCTATATATACATATATATATATGACCTGAAAGTATGAGTCTTGACTCAGTTCCTGCATTGAACACTTGAACCCACCGGACGACTTCAGCTCGAAAGCGTTCACTTGTGGAAATAACGCCCTTGGTGCTCCTTAATCTTAATTGGGTCTACCGAAAAGAAGTGCCATCTGCAGGTTGACCATCAGGGGATTCTGGGCTTCCGTGCGTTTTCTGTGGACCTGTGAGGTTCTCTTGGAGAAAGCACGTCAGATTTTGAAGCTTCTCATCCAAGAAGACTAGGTAATCCAAAGAGAAGAATGCCTAGCAAACAGCCTCCTGACCACAAGGAACAGCAATATTCAAGCAATATTCCAAGCCCATGGAAGAGTGCCAAGAGTTTGCGAAATGAACTGTACAATGTTGAAGAATATCAGTGGCATCCCTGCCATAGTGTCGTGAACTGGGTAACGCTTAGCGCACAGCCTTAAGCAGAAACAAGTTGGTTAAACACCTGGCATGACAGTTTCTGCTTAATTGGTCTCACAAAGAACATGCAAGCTTGTGTTGTTGCCAGCGGATTCTGTGTGGAGCCCAATCCATCGCTGGCTTCGACTTCATTAGACCAATCCGCTTCTTTCCGCTGTTGCCACCTGAAATATAGTAGATAGCAGATTGCATCAAGCTTCATGTTTTAGGCACCACATGAGGAATGTTACGTTTGGCTTCACTTGCCAGAAGGAACTGTGCCTCTCATGTTGAACTACGAACTACGATCACTGAGCCACTTCCATCCACTTAGCATCATCAACAAGTTCGCTGAGATAGAACCATGTGACCATTGGCTTGTTGGGGAACAATCGAAGCTACCCACGCTCAGAGTCCATGTTCGATTGCGGAGGGCAACTTGCAAAGAAGCAAGCAAATCAATTGAAGAATTCAAGCTTTGCTCAGAATTGTCTGGCTGCCTCCGCAACTATAGCTGTGGTGCTGTTCATTGCCCTTTCCCTTGTGTGAATTTGCTCAAATTTCAAACCACCAAGGTCCACACGGTCGAGATCCGCCCAAATCGACTTCTGCGCCTGGCGGATCGCCCGGAACTGAGGCAGGGTTTGTGGTCGCGGAAATAGGACAATGAGGGCAGAACTGAGGTCATCCTAAGGATCCTTTGCACATGGGTGGGCTCATTCCCCTAATCACTAGGCACGAAATAAAACCACATGCAAAGCAAACCACTTTTCAAGTTCGACCCACTCCAGCTGGCGGTGGTCCGCCGTGGTCCACCAAAGAAAGCCTTTCTCGACTCAGGGCTTTTCACTGTGTCTGAGGTCATGTTTGCATCCCATATTAGTGGGTCGGAGTCTAGGGTTTCAGTTCAGTACATTTGTCCTACTAAACAGCGGTTTGACGGATGTCTAATTTAAAACCAGTGGCAAGGCCTACGGCAAGGCATTAAGTTGTGTAATAGAAAGTGGATTCTCACGTATTCTTACCCCGACCCTAGTTGCAAGCAAAGCCGATGTCACAGTGCTTGACTGGCGCTTAATTAGGGCGCTTTCCACGCATGTAGACAGTGAACATCTTTCCAATTTGATTGGACATGGAGAACTGCGCATTCTGTCCAATCTATTCACGCCACCACGTCTAGCTGTTGCTGGAGAAAGCACCCAATCTGATCCAAACTCCACTCCAGCCCAATCCCATCCTGGTGTGCCATCTTCACAGCGCACCTGATCCAGGTCCGATCGATGCTCGAGCGATTTGGTTGACAACCCTGGAACTTCCGAAACTCAACAACCTGGTAATGGGTTGTGTCACGAAGCTGAAGGTTGGACAGCCAAATGGGTCTTCTGGAGAGCAAGGAAAACCGTTGAGCAAAAAATAGGACAAAGGGGAGGCTTACTAGTAGCTTCTAGCTACTAGTAGTAATGCCCTTGTTACTAGTAGTGATGCCCTTGTTACTACTACCCATGAGGATGAGGCGTCGAGTCCCATCCCGAAATGCCCATCTCGCTGCCTCGGACTCCTCCGAGATCTTTTCTAACCGGCCCGCAGCGTGGGATGGCGGATCGACCGCAAAGAAGCCTCGTGTGGTCGTGCAGTGCAGCATGGCTGCGTACACTGCATACTCTGTACTCTGCATACGCTTAAAACGGTGACGAAAGAATTAAACTGAGCTATATACGACCAACCCAAGGTTGCGAGCCTCATCCAGCACTAAACTGGCGATTGTGGAGTGGCGCAGTATCTGTACTGTACTTAATATTGCATAGTAACAACTAAATTTCAACTGTGAAATGAACCAACAGCAAGGACATACAATTACAATAGCCGGAACCTCCAGACATCTCCAGACTGCCCCCTTGTCTGCATGGGTCCGGGTCGAGAATCCTAGGCACCGGAATCCATAGCTTCGTGTCGGCATTCTTTGGTGAATCCCCGGGGAATGATGAATGGAGTTCGTTAGAAAATGAAGACATCAGACACCATGGACCAACTTTCCATTCTCTAACGAGGAACACCTTCAGCACTAAAAAATGTCGCGTTCGTGCCTTTTGATCCTGGTTTGGCAGCTGTTCTAGCACCAACCTAGTCTTCAAGTGATCTGTTCATATATGTTGACGTGCAGAACTCAAAATATGGATTCCATACTGGATTCCATGATATTCAGGTTTTGGGTGGGGCTGGTGGTGTTTGGCCTTTGGCACGCAACCCTTGCCTTAAACATTGCACATCCAGGCGCCACTAAAAATGCACAAATCCAACCTACACTGCGTCAGCAAAACTTACAACTCTCATTTTCTAGCGAACAACTCCATGAACTTGCCAGTCTTTCCAAATTTTTCCCTTGACTCTGCCTAGCTTTCAATTCCAACATCACATATTAATGAATCTGATGTTCTTTTCTTTCTCTTTCCAGATCCCAACATAATCCCCCACTTATCCCATTGTACCCTCCAAACAATGAAGCGACAGCCGGTTTCACAAAAAATATCTAGGAAATGACCTCAAACTCATTTTTTACTATGGCGATATATCTTGTTTGGCCATTTTCAGTGACTTAGAACATGAATAGGTAGTATGTCCCCTACGTGTTGGCAGGTCGTGGGAGTTCCTTCGAAAATGAACTTGTTCCACGCATGTAGACCCCATCCTCTAGGGTGGGCAAATACTGAGAGCAATTAAATCCCCTCTTTGACCTTCCCAATTCAATACTTGACATAAAGTCTCCCCCAACACCGTACCTGCAAGGCCTTCTGTTTGCAAGAAGGGTAAACCGTTCCGCATCGCCTTCTTCCATCTCGATCTTCTCTGTCTGCGACGAAATCGCCGCGACCTCAACAATAATGTGCTCCAAAAATCGCGTCGACTGTTGGACACCCTCTTGGGATGAGTGGGAAACTACAAACCAACCCAAAAAGACGGGTCCGAGAACCGGTAGCTTTTCATTTTCAGTCGTGCTTCTTCTGCCCACAAGTGCAACTTATTAGTAATATCCTTCTGAAACGGCGCAACTCAGCGCCCGGACTCGCACCTTTTACTTGGTCAGAAGGGGCTGCAAGATACAGCCCTGTTCAAGGTTACTTAGATCGTGTGATCTACTGTACATACTTATGTTGCATAGGCCCTTTTCCCGACACCCCTCTATAGTGCTGGCCGTTCAGCTGAGCACTACCATTTCGGAGAGTATGCCCTACCAGGTCAAGGATTACCCTTCTTGCAATGAGAGTAATCCATAGCAACGGCTTTAAACCTGGGGCGTTATTGCGCAAGAGAAAGGTTGACAAGTACTATTGCACAGTCTTCCCTGTGATACCTTTCCCCTTCACCTATGATGCGCATGCTCGTTCTGAGCCCAAACTCAACACGTGCAAATCTCCTCTGGATGTTAGAACCAGTGGATCGCTGATCATTCGAATTCAAACTCCTTAGCACTCAGAACAAGACATGCCCCCACTAAGCCCCTTCTGAACAGGGGCATCTTGCTCATTAGCTCTGCCACTCGGGGTGCATCCAAGATCTTTGTGCCCAAGTCAGCCCAGTTCTCGGAAGTCTTTTCCTTCTTCACTTTCAGCTCACCTTTCTCCACAGCATCTTGGAGCCAAAGCTCTTTCAACGAAAGGTGTTTCACCTTTCCAACACCGCGCCTGTGCGCGATTCCTTTGCATGCTGTAGAGTCAGTGAGACATGTCTGCGCAGTGCCTCGCTGCACTTCTTGCAGCGCTCTCTTCACCACGAGTCCAGCTGAGCTTCCACGAGTCAACGCGTAATACTCCGCCTCTCCTGAGCTCAAAGCCACTACGGATTGTCTAGCGCAGCTCGTATCCAGCAAGTGATCTCCATACCTGATGGAATAACTGCTCATGCTCTTCCTGCTTCTCTTGTCAGCAGCCCAGTCACTGTCACATTAGACATAGAACTCATCTGGTTCTTCTTGGTACACAAACAACCACTCTTCGACTGGAAAGCTGATCAAGTACCGCCCCAACCTTTTTAACATTAACCAATGCATCAAGGTGGGCTTTGACATGCCTCTAGCGATCTGCGAGACAGCAAATTGGATGCTGGGCCTATCCAGCGAGAGGTACAAGGCAATTCCTGCAAGTCTACGAAACTCACTTGCATCTGATGAGGACAAGGGATCATCAGCGTGCCGTTCATTCCTGCCAGCGTCCTTGCTTGCAGGTGTTTCGACACCTTTGCTGCCTTCCAAGCCGAGCTCTCTCACAAGCTCAACTGCATGTTTGGGATCAGCCTGCCAGGAGAAGCCTTTATCAGACCATTGGATGATCCTGTTCAAACGCTTGCCTTCGGCCACGGCCCCTCCATAGCTGGGATCGTCAATCCGAGGAAGTACCTTGACTTCAAAGCGCCTTTTCATGATCTCATCTAGCCTATCAAGGTCTGCAGCTGTTCCTTCTGCAATGATATCGTCTCCGTGACATGCCATTGTGTGTCCCACTCGTCGTGGTGGAACAGGTTAGGAACCAACTTGGACAAACGGAAGCCTTCAGGAACCATCGTCGAACGGATGTAAAGGCTCCATTCACGAGACCCTTCTCTAGTTCCATTCATAGCCTTGACCAATTCCCAAACCCATTCTCAAAGAGATCTTTGGGAGGGATGACTGCGATTCCTCCGCTTGACAAGGCATGGAAGAAAGCAACGCTCACATCATAACGCGCAATCAATCTTTGACCGCGACGTTCTCTCTTCCGGTGTGCGCCGGCAAGCGAATCACCATTCGATGGACCCATAGCGGTGGTGTTCCTGCAAACGCATCATCTCGTGGACCCATGTTGATCTCCTGTGCAACACATCTTGATCGCACTCCTTGTGGGTCTTCTGGCAGTGCCTTTTTCACATCAACCCATCTTGAACGGATGATCTTCAAGCCGCGTGACTTGGCTTCACTCAATCGGATGTCTTTCTTGACATCATGAGTTTCCATCTTTTCCAATTCTCTTCCCCGAGCCTTCTTGACCTTGTCCGGTTCAAGAACTTCACCGCTCCTTTCGTCAAGTACCTGTCCCACTTCTGCCCATTCAGGATAAGCAGCCAAGGGAATCTCATGAGGTGTTGGACGATCGTTGTAATCCACTTCTTCTTGTGGAGCTTCAAGTAGCACTGCCACTGAGCGCCTTTCGATCTCTGCAGAGAGATCATCCAGCGATGTTTCAGCTGGTCGCTTGCTTCTAGACGACTGATCTTTCTTCAGTCTCTTTGCTTCACTGCCCATGGATGTACCTTCTAGTGGGCCTTCAACCGGTGCGGGGCGGCCCGCGACCGATCCATCAGCCGTCGCGGTGTTCCCCGCTGACGGACTTGTCATCGCGGTGTGCCCCGCAGATGACTTTCCCGTTGCCGCGGTGGTTCCCGCTGGCAACTCTCCAACTGCCGCGGTGTTTCCCGCTGGCAGCTCTGCCACCGCGGTGTTACCCACAGATGGCCGAGATGAAGCGGAGGTACCCGCACCCATCTCTACGTCCAAGACCTCCTTGGACTTGAGCTTCAAGCGCTCCTCACTGATCAACTTCTCAAATCGCGCACGGCACTCAGCATGGTGCCTCTTGGGGTGTTCATCTGAACTGTGGCATCCGGGGCATCCTGGCGTCATGCCATGCTTCAGCTGTTGCCCTACCGTGGTGTACACGCCTTTCTTTACACCTGGTGTTCCTGGCACTGGAGTGCCAGGGCTAGTGACTCCTGAGCGGATTGCTTCTGGAGTTGGTGTGGGTGGGCCACGAGGTTGCCAAGTAAGGCCAACCCAACTCTGGAAACCTTTGAGGTTCCATCTCAATCTCTCTGGCTTCCTCCAGATCGTCCGGCATCGCCTGATGCCGTGCTCAGTTGCAACCAAATGTTCGTCTGATTGCAAACTCTTACCCAACCAGATGCCCGTGTTTGTCTGTGCATCAAGTTTCCCCTTTTCCGCATCTGCCACTTTGTAGTGACAACTCTCAAAGGGCTCAATGATTGAACCTTTGTAGGTCCGCCCTCTCAATCGCTCATACGGCGTTTTGCCGTCGGCCTTTACCAGGTATCTGGTCAGAAGCCATGAAGCTTGGCGTATCAGCCACGGGTAGTGTTTGTCTTTGGGGTTCAACTTAAAACCAGGAAATCGCTCTTCCAAACTGCTCACCAAGGTCCGAGCTTGACGAGCCAGCTCAAGGATGGCTCGCTCACATGCACTGTTGGAAGCGTGTGAGCCTCTAGGCGCTGTCATGAACTGGCACTCTCCACCCCATTCCTTGCTGGCAGCTTCTGCCAACGCCTTGATGCTGGGCTCAGCATCTGTCATGAGCACAGCTCTTTGCCTACCACAAAACTTTAAGGCTTCAACCACCAAATGGTTTGCGTAAGCATTCACACCTTTAGCAACCACACCAGAAAAGACACAACCTGTTTTCTCATCAACAATGACAAGAACAGGCAGCAAGTTTTCATCATCTGGTGATTTAGACGCGAGTTCAGAAACATTCAACTCGGTGTTTTGTTTTTTCACAACACGACCCAGGAAACAGTAATCCAAACTTACACGCGGAACTTCATTCGGGTCGCTTTCTGCTTGTCTCCCGCGGTGGTCGTCCTCACGGACTTTGCCACGCATGCAATGCTCGCACCAGTTTCTCAAAGGAATGTGTGTGAGCATGTGTGCGTCATATTCCTCCTTTGAAACAGCATCAGGAATCTTCTAGGACCACTAGGATGATTAGAAGCTGCAGAAACTCCCTCCTGATGCCCAGGCTCCCCAACCTCATCGTAAATGTTGGCAGGCACGCTCTTTGCCACTGCCTTGACACCGCCAAGGATGTCCGCGGGGCTACCCGCTGGTGATTGCTTGGTCTCCAGTGGCAACCAGAACACTCCCCTGCTCTTGGTTAAGGGAATCGTTTCAATGTGGCTCAAACAGTCTTGAATAATGGGAGTGAACCTGGGCTGGGCAATACACTGCGTACCAGGACCAACAATGGTCCACACCCCCTTTTCTGCCATTTTACCGGATGAAAGGACACTAAACTGAAGCTTATCTGACTCAGCGTATTCAACATTGAACGTTTTGCCAGAACATTCAATGACGCTTTTCTTTCTGATTCCAGATGTGAGCGGTTCACCCGTGACAGTAACTAAGCTCTTGGATGAATCATTTACGCTCTCAACAGCATGGGGGTCAAACCCACTTTGAAACAAATGGGAACCGGCTCCAGTGTCAACCAGCACGCGCTTCAAGGGGCTAGCAATAGCTGCAACACTGTCAGAGTCTTCCATTAGTGAGGACAGTGGTTCACTCTGGGGTTCTTGCTCTGGCGTTGCTGCGTTCTTACCTTTTTCACCTTTGGAGCCTTTGCTACCTTTGGCTCTGTCGTCTGCTTGTTTCTTGCGGCGTTCGGCCTTGATGTGGCCAGGCTTGCTGCAATAGAAACACGTCTTCTCTTTGCTAAGAGCTGTATTGCTGGAGGTGCCTTTGGTCTTGCCTTTGCCTTTGCCTTTGTCATCTTTACCCTTACTTCCTTTTCCCTAGTACGAGCTATCTCCAACAGCTCATCTCTTACCAGCTGATAGCTCGTCAAGCGATTTGTGTTTCTAATGATGTGGTCTCGAACTGAATTGTCTTGGAGACCGTTGATGACCACACCGAGCAAAATCTGGTCATCCAAGGCTTTGCCAGTTTCGCTCTCATATCGCCTGATCGTCTTTTCAGACAACTCTAGTTCTGCCTCCACATCCGTGGATGAAAAACGTGTGTTGAGAATCAAACTCAAACTGCCAACAAATCTTGATGCCAACTTGGGTTGGTACAGCTCTTCGAGTTTGCGGAGGGCCTCAAAGCCCTCTCCCTTTCCACGGCTTTGTACCACATCGAGTGCCCTGCCCTTGACTAACATCACTAACATGTAATACAACTGTGATGAAAGCTGCCTCTCTTGCTCGCTGAGAAGGCGATTCGGGCATGGAACTCTAGTTGATTCAATACGTTCAACAATCTCAATGAAACGGGAGTCAACACACTTTGAACACAAACGACCAATCAGCATACTCACTCGCATCTCCCTTGAAGGTCTCCGGTTTTCCCAACTGTCTCGTGTCAACCAAACCAAACCCCCCACTACTACTGCTAGCTAGATTCTTGAAAAGGTCTGTGCAAAACAGCTGTTGGAACCATACCTGATATGTCTGAAACCCTGCGTTCAGGCTCGACGCGCACTCTTTCAGCACGCATCTGTTCTAGCTGCATCTGTTGCAGCTCAACTTGCCGTGACAGCCGCTCCACTGCCGCCATCATCTGGGCCATGGGGTCCCTTGATTGCTCCAAGTCTGGAGTCGTTTCCTGAGGATTCGTTGTTATCATCGTCGTCGCCACCGTAATCTACTTCTGAAACAAGATCTATGTTTGGAAATGGCCTCTTGCGCGGCCGTTTGTCCTTTGACTCAGCTTTCTCCTCCGCGTCGGCTTCGTAGGCCTTTGCTCTTTGCGCCTCTTCTCGGTTCTTTCGAGTCAAACGAGCTGCTGCGAACTGAGCGGCCCTTGGACGATTCAGTCAAGATCTCTCCTCACAGCTGGAGCAGTCAGCTGGTAAGGTGTCAAAGGCGTCCTTGACACTTCCGTGAGGGAAATGCTTCCTCAAGACCCGTCTCACAGCAACTCTGTCGGCAAACCTCAGGTTCGTCCAGTTCTTGTGAACTTTGTCTTGGATGGCCTTTGATGATACAGCTGAGTGAATCGCTGATGCAGGGGTGAAGCGGAACGAAGGCGAAGTGCACGAGGTTCAGGTGCTCGACGGCGAGAACGATCCCTCTCGCTTCTCTTCGCTCTTCTCTTTCTGTTTTTCTCCCTGGCTCTTCCACGAGAACCTGGATGAGGATGTCTTAGCTCCTTTCGAGCTGGAACCAATCGAATTGGGCTCGGAGTCTTGTCTCGAACTATGAAAGCTCGATGTGCCCCCTGTCCAGACGGAAGTGGCCGGGGCTTCACAACCTGGATTCCTTGCTTCTTTCTTTCTTGTGTTGTGCCGGCTTCTCGCCGGGCTTGGCCCCTAGCTGCCCTAGCTTCTCGAGCTAGGGTTCTGTAGGCAGATCTCCTGCCCCTTTTGTTCTTCTTCTTGGCTCCCTTCTTCGGCTTGGGAGCCGTTTTGCTGGGCGGGGCTACCCGCGCCAGCAGGGTAGCACCCTTGGAAACCAGGCTCCGCTACCATGAAACGGCGCAACTCAGCGCCCGGACTCGCACCTTTTACTTGGTCAGAAGGGGCTGCAAGATACAGCCCTGGTCAAGGTTACTTAGATCGTGTGATCTACTGTACATACTTATGTTGCATAGGCTCATATTCCCGACACCTTCAAACCTTGGCTGTCCAAAGCAGAGTGCCAAACAACCCAACACCTCCTCCAGACTCCAGTTGAAACTTTGTGGCACATGGTGTGTCGAAGAAAAGGTCCGTGATCTTACTCTGT